AGGGTCAATACTACTGATACTGGGAAAAGAGATTTATGCTGTTTCCTGCTACAGCACTGTACAACCTTTTTCACTATGGCAACATTACCTATAGTGCATACATCACAAAACTGAGCATTTTGAGTGCAACTAAGTATAAAATAGGATGAACCTAGACACGAGTATGACAGTGTGAATAATTTAAACCCCAAGACCTCCCATAGCTGCTATTAAAACAACAGATTGCTGCTGAATGCATTTCTTTCTCTTTGTATTCCTCAACTGAATGGAATTTCATTCTCCATGCTTGTTACTTTAAGTAAAAGGTATCCCATTTAAAGCAAATGTTTGGAATTTTTGTCTTTTTTGTGTTTGCTTACACAGTTTTGCAACTATTTTCAACCATCATCTAAACAGAGATTCTCTCTGTGCTGTTCTTAATAGCAGAGCACAGAAATTAGAAGCTATCAGAGCTACCTTTGCAAAATAAATACATTTTCATAAAGGATATTCCATTGCAGTACCCTGAAATTTCACTGAGTCATCATCCCTGCCATTCTGTGCTGTGGGACTCATAAAATAGCCTGGAAACTGAGATCCCACTTTGTGTTGTGTAACTGCAACCTTCCCTTCTGCCAAAGTACCCACTAAGGAGCTCTAGGAGCTGCTTCTTTCCCAAGAAGAGGTTGAAACATTTCCTTGACTGGAAATTTGTTGTAATCTTATTGCAAAGCTCCCATACTTTCTCAGTGATTTCTCATGAGCATCTCCTTGCAGCACTGACTTCTTTTTCTGCACAACCAACAAACTCCATCTCTCTTCACAGCACAGCCAGCTAACCCACTCCTTTGTAGCACGCTTTGTATTGGGCACAGCTGTGGCCTGTTAAGGGCAGGCCTGTTCCTGATTTTGGTGATTGGTGCAGCTGCAGCTCCTCAGGTGCGAGACCACCTTCTGCACTATCTTGATTGTCTTACATTCAATCCTCCCACAGAAATTCTCATGGGTGGACTGCACCCTCATGTTTCATCCTCCTCCTCCTCTTCCAAACAACTTCTGAAAAACCTGATGGGACTTATCCCAACCAGCTCCCTCAGCACAGAACTGAAGGTGCCCTCTGCACTCCACTCCCAACTATTATGCAGTCCTGGAAGTGCTCTCAGAACCTGGGAGAATTGCAGAACCATTGCTTTGAGTCATCCAACACTTCCCCAAACGTCCTCTTTCACATTACCTACGCAGCACTCCCATATGGCCGGGGTCTCCCCAGGGAACTGGCTGCAGCTTCTCCACTGGAGATCAACTTCAGATTTAGCAGAACAGAAAATTTTTCCTCCAATACTGAGCAACATAATATTTACAATCTTATCATTTTTATATTACCAGCAAAATTTCAGAGCTGTTCTCAGGCAAGACCATGCAAGCAGAGTACAACATGAGTGCGCCAAAGAGAAGAAAGAAAACACAGGCATATCACAGAACACAAAACAAAAAGGGTACTTAAAGGGCTTTCCAACAAAAAACTGTTATTCCAAGTACGTACTTTCTTTCTAGCAAGTATTTTAATTTATATGCTCAGAGAATGAAGAGGAAAATGTATCCAAAAGAGACAATAACTTCATCATGTGATGGCTACAAATGGAGAAATTTAAACTTATAACAAATACACTCTTAAATTAGAACACAATTAGATGCTGATATCCCTCCACTGCCTGCAATCACCCTCAAGGGAAGCAAAATTGCATGAGACTAACAGAACACTCACTTGTTTTAAAATTTACAGGAGGCTCAAGAAAGTTTCACATGCATTTTACCTCAGAAACAATGTGCTACTTATTCTTCCTAGCAATGATTTTTTACATAGCATTCTGGGATCAAAATGTAATTTTCAACAATAACATATTTTCTGACATTCTCTAAGGAAAAATTACTGGTTTCTTCCCTCTAAAAGGATTTTGAAGGAATAACATCTGTGTTGAGATTATTGTGAATATGTTAAACTGACAGCAAGTCTCTAAGGGGCACTGCTCATTAATGTTCTGTGCATAAAATTAAAACTTGAAATATATTTTCCAATCTTTTTTGAATCATTTAAGCAATTCTCATGCAAAGAAACTATTGTGCAGCAATCATATATTTGCAGAGCAGGCTATGAAAGCTATTAAAATGTCCCAGACCCCCTGCCTTTCAGGCAAAAGGAAAAAAGGAGACGCTTTCTGATTTCAAACATGAGCTGTATTGAAACAAAAAATACTTTCAAAGACCATGAAGAGTTTGATTTCAGTTTACACAATGCAACAAAATTTAAAATTGTGTCTTTCTCCTTCATCTTTAATTCATATGGTGCCTAGGTAGCTCTCATACCAGCAGGAGAGTTTTGTTAAGTGTTGCCCATTGGCATTTACAAGAAATTTCTCCAGTGGCTACAAGTGGTGGCTGTATTATTTAAAACTGCAGCAGGGCAGCAATCTGCAAACTCCCTGCAACCACAAGTGGGGAGCTGGGCTCTGAGACAATGCCTGGGACTCAGGGATTTCAATGCAAACTCCTTCTCCAGTTTGAAGGTGACAAAGGTCTCCATGTCCATAGAACAAATAATTTTGTTTGGAGGGCATGTACACTTCTTCCACCCAGTACTACAGAAATATAAGTGTATCCATCACGTTTACTGTAAAGCAGCCTCTCATGCAAATCTTTAGTTTGAATAAAAAAGGAATCTATCTGCTTAAAATCAAATAAAATTAAAGGAAATATTGGATTTTCCAAGCACAGAAATCTGCATAAAGCTGTAGCTGTAAGTGCCATTTTATGGATAAAAAAAGGGAACATATTATCATTGGGAAAACAAACATGCCCTCACTGTTTCAGAAGCCACTGGATAATTACAGCCACAATAAGATGAGAGTTCTAAATTTTGCCACAACATATAATGATTCTAACCAGGCTGTTGGATTACGTTCATAAATGGAAATTTGGGAACTCCAATTAACATGTTCTTGATGTGATAGACTTTAGCAGGGCTTTTTTAAATGAAACCAGTCTGTGTCAATGGGACTTCATTACTTAAATCACAGTAATCATAACAAGGCAGTCTCAGGCTGCCTACATCTGAAATATTATGTAAAAACATTACAAAAAGACACTGAAGTTATGCTCAAATACTCCTTTTTTAGACTTCCACACCTCACATTGCAAACTGTGCATCAGCAAACACAACACTGCCAGTACTACCTAATATTTTTTGGTAAACCTTTTCAATGGAAAAGCCTAAGCACAGCTACCCATGGATCTATAAATGAAAATATAAACACCTCAGCAGACAGCGTCACTTTCAGAGGCTCTGACATTGCTGGTGTGGAGGGGAAGACACCAGATTAGAGCAGCTGAAAGAAAATAACAAAGCTGCTCCTCAAATTTTAGATGTGAAGATGGCACCTTGAGGAACACAGACTGGTGCACCCCACCCACAGATTTCCTTGGGGATATCTTCATTCCCCCTCCCTCACTGCTATATGCCATCAATGGAGGGCTTTTATTGCCTTTTTCCACCCCAAAAGCCCAGGCAGAGCCCTGCCAGCTCCTCTACAGAGCTGCCAGACAGATAAAACACATGGATCCACCCAGCCAAAGCACCACAGGAATGTTTGGGACTCTGCTCACACACTGCACTTGAACATCACAAAGTTCTCTTTCCACAGTGTCAATATAAGAAGTTTCATCTCTCATTTCTTCTTGACAAATGCTGGCGCACTTTAAGCCCTGACGCAGTAAACTACAGATTTGATTGTTTCATTAACAAATTATCTTTCTCAAGGAAAGCATCAAAGCAATAAGAAAACTCCTGAGATAAATGTGACAAAGCAGCAGGAGTTAATTAAGTAGGACAATGAGTAAGCATTTATGGGTGCGATAGGAGACCCAGCTGATTTAATTGCGAGCCTAATTATCAATTAGAGAATCAAGAAATGGCGTGTAAGTGAAATATTCCATTTGTTGATACTTTAATGATTTTCAGAGACCCAGAAGAGCAGTAATAATTGCTATTTTAGAACTACAGAACACATTTTTATTCTCCTCTTAGTCAGACATTCTTAGTACTTCTAAAATAACTAAGAAATGTATATAGCCTTGTGCTCAAATATTTAAGTAGGTTAGGTACTTTGGATTTTTTTAAGAAGTCTAGTAATTAAACATTCAAACACACCGCCTCTAAACCACTCAGCTGAAGTCAAAACCTTTCTGCATTTATTTTCTAATAAGGATAATAAGTGCCCAGTAGTGTGAGTCCCTTTAACTATTTCCAGGGCGTTTACACAAGTCAATTTCCAGACAACACGAAAGAGATCAGGGAACCATTTAAACCTATGAGGGCAAAGAGCCAGCGAGCTCCACTCATTGTTGAAATATCTTATCCAACAAATGCAAGAAAATAAAATTACCAAAAAAAATTAGTATATTGAAACACAATTAACCCTTTACAAGCTGTAAATATGTTCTGGGTTCTCACATAGAAGCCATAAAGTATGTTGAGATCTTTCTCAGAACTTCTGACATGTAGCTTGTAAAGAACATTTACGAGAAAAAGAGATCCAGCAGACACCATGTAACAGGACTGGTGCTGTTTCCCAATGAAACTATCAAAAAACAATTTTGGTGTGTAGCAAGAGGAACCCAGAACAGGACAGCAGATTAAAAAGAAGCTTTCAACCACCTTCACCCAAATGTGTTTTCCCTTCATTTAAAGACACACAAAAAAAATTACCAAGCACTTGCCCTGGCCTCCTGAGGGGCCTCAAGAAAGCAGGGAGTGGGAATTTTTAAACTTCTTTTTCCCCTGAGAAATGGCTGTGGTGCCACTAAGAGCTTCCAAAAGACAAAAGAAGTGAATTCCTCCCCTCAATGACCATATATGCACTTCCGACATTAATTTCACATTATGGCACGCCCCCTCATTACCTTGTGCCCGCCCCTCCGCCATCTTGTACCGCCCACACGAGTCCCCGCCCCTTCCGCCCACCGCTGCTCCCCCGCCGCCATCTTGTGCCCGCCCCAGGGGCTCGAGAAAGCAGCGAGCGGGAATTATTTCGCTTTTTTCCCCCTGCGACATGGCTGCTGTGCCGCCGAAGAAATCCCAAAGGACGAGAGAAAGGGATCCTTTCCCTCGGTGGGTGTGTGGGCACTTCCGCATATTCCATGGAACACATTCCCGCCCCTCCCGCCATCTTGTGCCCGCCCACACCAGTTGCCGCCGTTGCCCCGCAACGCCCGGGCGGCCGCGGCCCCGGCCCCGGTCCCATGGAGCCCACTGACCACACAGCCGAGAACAAAGAGTACATCAACTACGTAGCCCAGGACAAGAGCTGGTAACAGCCCGCCCGGGCCGGCAGTACCGCTGCTCGTCCAGCTTCCCCTCCCGGCCCGCAGCTCCGCGCTGGAAGAGTTCTCATGTGTATTTAAAGAGCGTATGCGCTGGGTGAAGCGTGCCTGGGTGTAAAGTCATTTAGATGTAGAGGTGGCTCCAGTGCACCCCTCGTGTCCCGCCAGCTGTGGGGTGAGGGCACCTCATCAGCCAACACAGTAAATGAAAGGATATTTGAAAGCATCATTGGTGCTTACTTTCCAGCCTCCTCCGCTTTTTAACATAATTTAAAAGCAGTGGAGTGTTCCCGTGCAGTGTTCACTGTTTCACATGCAGTGTTCACTGTTTCACATGCAGCGTTCGCTGTTTCACATACAGCGTTTCAAACCTCTGGAAAGTATTTTCCCATTAGCTCCGAGTCAGATAATGATATTCGTACATAAACGCGCTGCTTTGAGATGGAAGTTTAAAGATCCCAGCTGAAGTGCTGTGCTTTGTGACGTCGGTAGCTGGGGTTGGCGTGTTGGGGGTTTTTTTAATGAAAGTTTTCAAAGTAATTTTAAATGTTTTTTGTTGGTTTCAGGAAAATCCGTATTGAAACTGAAAGAGATGCTGCAAAAAAATGGGCTGAGAAATGGGGATTTTTGAAAACACCTCTTGAAGAGGTAAAGTTGAATGTCATGTAATATGGCTGATAAGATAAGCAACACATGAGCACACATTTATCTGGACACAAAATTATGAGAGCACAGAAGACCAGAAGTGTACTGAGTATGCTTTATTACACTGACCTCCTAGGTAGCAATCGCACTACTTTTGAAATGGTTCAAATATTCCATTTTTTTCTGAATAAAACACATCAAGTGGTAATTTATATGCTGTGCATATTCTGATATATTTCTCCTGAGAAGCATGACTCCTAATAGTGCTAACAAGTACTAGATGCACACTGACAGGAAAATATTTCCCCTTTGTCTCTCCATATGGTATTTTAAAAATCTAGGGGAAAAGGTTCCAGCTAATTAAATTGTCAGTGGGGGAATCTACAACAAATGAAAATATTTGGAGTGATGTCTCTTCTCAGTGATGTTTAGATATTAGAATACAGTAGCACATGTTGTTACATTTGCAATCACAGTATTTCATTGCTAAAGAACAGGATTGATGTAGCCCCTGCATAGTTACAAATGAAGTTTGCATGTCTTCTGAAACAAAAAGTCCAGTAATTTCCAAAGAACTGAAATAAGTAATCCTGCTTAAGAGGAAAGAACAGGAAGTTCATCTGCAACAATGAGGGGAATGGTGTGGATTTCACATATTACAGTATATTTCCAAAGATAAAGAGTCCAGGTTTTAAATATGTTTTGGTTTTAGTTGCTTGGACCTGAAAAGAAAGAAGCTGCAAAGCCCAAGCTACAGCTTCCAGATCACCTGCAGGTTCGACCTGTGACACCGGTGGAAAAATACATTAAGGTTAGAAAATTAGATTTGAAAATTGCAAAACAGAAACATCTGTTTTAAGAAACCACACAAGCTCTGAAAACCAGTTGTCTTATAGAGGGGGGTCTTTAACTAAAGGTCAAAGTAAACTGCATTTGCAAGCCAAACTATGCTTTAAAAGCATTTGTTTAAGACAAGGAATTGCCCTTTGGTTATGGTTGTAATTTTTCTATCTTTATTTAAGAGTCTGCTTTTTGTCAGAGACAATACCACTGTCCTCTTCAGCACCACAAATTAATAAGAAGCCAGTTCTAATAAGCCAAGTCATAATTATTTTGTTTTGTGTGATTTATATGTATATTCAGGGTCTTAAAGCTGTCAAATAGCTGGAGAGTAGAATGTGAGTGATGGTTTAATTTATAAATACAGTGTGTCAGGATCACCAGTGAATAGGGGGAGTCCACAGGCAGCTAAAGCTGTGACATTGGGAGAGGAACTTACCAAAGGGGAAGCAGGATATGCTAATGAAAAGGAAGGTTAGTCCACTCAGAGAAGATTAGGGAAATAAAGGAGATTGGAAGTTCTTACTTGCTGAACTAGCTTTCTTTCAAAGGATTCCAAGGCTGGGGAGATAAGGTATGGAAGTAGCGAAAGCTTTTATTGAAATTAAATTAAAATAAAAATTAGGAGCTAGTGCTGAGTGTGGTAAAGCAATGAAATGGCTTCATTTGTGCCAGCCCTGCTCCTTGTTGCTCAGCTTTGTCCCTCAGCTCCAGGGTCAGTCCAGCTGCAGTTCCAGCAGAGTCCCAGCCCCGTGGGGCTTTGGTGCATTCACAAACCCTGCAGGTCTCAGCTGCTCCCCAAGCCTGCACAGCCTGGTGGAGCTGAGTTTCCATTTCACCTCAGCATGGGAGGAAGAGAAGGGCTGGCTGTGATTTAGGTCACCTTTTACATATTCAGAGTGAAGTTTCATACATCCTTTTCTGAAGTGTCTTTCTGCACATTTACCTTGTGGTAACAGTCAAATCTGTTCTCTCTAGGTTAGACTAATAAAAGCTCTGCAGTCCCCTCCCCCAGACCAAAAGTGGGACATGATTTCCTTCATTATCCTGCTCAGTGGGTGGCACTTTTGGCCATAAAAATTATCTTTTCTGAGGAACTGCTCCACCTAAATATCATAAACATTTTCTAATCTTGGCCAAAGAACAAAGTGAAGCAACTCTGGCAAGAGAACTGAAACATTGTTCTCTTGCTGTGTATTTCTCTGCTAAGTCCCCAGATGCTGAAATGATAGAACGTGCCCAATTGAGATGATTCAGCCAAAGTAAGCACAGCAGTCACTGAACAGTCTGTTGGCTTTTGTTTTGTTTCCTTTTTAGCTAGATTAGTTGCAGATTAACTTGCTGCTCAGCCATCTTTTAGAGTAGAAGAAAGGTAGAATGAATAAGTAGTTCTTGATGTAAAAGCCAGCTTGGTCAGGAATATCTTCAGCATTTGGATTTAAAATTATTATTCCATAGCTGCATTGTTACCAAATATACTACAGCAAGGAGGAAACATTATTTCTCCTGTTTACTGAAGTTAATTCGTTTTAAAGATGATGATGATGATTATCTCCTGCTTGAGCTTTTTCCATACATAATAATAATAATAATAATACAAAAAGTCTAATAATGTTAAGCAATTGAAGCCCTTAGTATTGAACCAAACTTGGAAAAAAAATTATTCCAACATACACTAGTAAACAATGACCTGATTGTTGATTTTAGAACACTACAGTACAAAAGGCAATGTTGCAGAAACTTCAACCAAAAACCTTTTCATCATTCAGTTTTGCATGTTACTTTGATTTTAGGTGCTTCCATCTCCTCCAATACCTAAAACAACCCAGGGATTAATTGGCTGGAGATCAAGTGTTCCAGCACTGGCTCTTGAGCATGATTATCAAGTCCAAAGCTCCAAAGGATCTGTCATTAGAATGAAGTGACCATGTGAGTCTTCTAAGTGGCATTATGAAATAAAGAGGCACAAAGATTCATTCCTAAGGAAATATCCTGGAGTGGGCTGTTGTGCATTTCTTGTCTTTGTAAAAATCCACAATCATTTTGGTAAAGTGTGAACATTTTCATTTTACTTCATTGAATCTATGGCATCCAGGCTAACTCTGCTTCAGAGCTCCTGCTTGTAACTTAGAGATAACAATGAATAAACTCAGGTAAAGATCACAGTACATACTATTTTTATTATCACTAATAAGACTATAATTTAAAAATATTCATTGGAAACTGGAGTGACAGTGCAAATTTTTATAATTGTTTCTCCATGAGTACCTCTACTCATAAAATACTCATAAAATACTCATAAAATACACTGGGTTTGTGTTGGCTGTGCTTTGCAGGTATTTTGTGCAGTTACACACATGAGTGAGGAGTTCCTAGTACAGAAATAAAGTACACAAGGGCCACAGTGACCCAGAGTCACTTTGAAAGATCAGTTTTGGTATCAAGTCAGGGCTTTTCCATCAGCTGATCAGCATGCAGATGGGTTACAAAGGGCTGCCTCAGCTGTGTGTGCAGCAGAATTTGCTCCAGCCAGGGAAGGATGCTCAGAGGCAGCAGTGATTGCTCTGGAGCCCCTGGGGCAGCTCCCTCAGTGCCCTGGGCTCACTCCTGCTCTTCACTGGGCACCTGAAGGTTTTGGAGACCCCGGAGGAGACTCAGTGAGCTGCAGCAAATGTTTGCACAATGCAGTTCCAACTGGCCAAGGTGTTCACAGCAGAAGGTTGTTTAAGCAAAAAGAGCCTCCAGGAAATCAACCCAGGCAGCTCCCTCTGAGTCCTTATCACTTAGAGGGGAAAGGTTTCCTCTGTAACCCGGCTGCAGGATCTGCTTTGTGTTCTGCAGCCATCAATAGCTACTGCTTGAGTCAGCACTGTCTTTGGCTTTCACAGCAGCAAGGCAGCAGCCAGTGTTTGTTCTTCCCTTCTTCCCAAGAAATGACTCACAATGATCAACATCCCACCTTTTTTTTTTTTTTACATCCATTTCCAAATGCCCACAAAATAATAATAATATTTTACTTTTTTCCATACTTTTTACAAATAATGGAGAAGTGAGTCATATCCTTTGGAAAGATTACCCAAGAAGGAGAACACATAGTAGAAGTAACTTCAGACACTTTATTTAAAAACCAGAATAAAGAATAACTTGGAATCAGACTCTGGAAATTGAAGTTAAATTGTAGTTTAGCTACTAACCATAACCTGTGTACACTGTTCTTTGGACAACCAAGATAATTGTAAGAACAATATTGAAATTCAGTGTGCTTTCTTGTCATTGCCAGGTTTGTATCTCTTGCTTATTTTCATCATGTGGTATGTGGTTCTTCAGTTTATTTTAAGGCCAAAAGATCTTATTCTTGTCTGATTTATGTAAACAGGTATAATGATGATTGATATGGCATTTAGCAGCAATTAAATTACATTAATTCAGGCCAAATAAAAGGGGAATTCCACTGGCTTTTAAAGAGTTATATTAATAAATCAAAGCACCACATACCCATTGGATATTTGTATGAAGTGAAATCCAAATCCAGAGGAGCATGGTTTGATTTTGAAAACCAAAATAAATTCTTTGTCCAGCATCTGCTGTTGGACATTCCTGACTCTTATTCCAATGTCTGAATATTAACTCTGGCCTGACATGAAGGGTTTTGTATTGTACATTCTGTCATTTAAGGTACCTTTACTTCAGGAGATACTTAGATAGACACTAATTTGGGATGTGCAAAGAATATAATCTAAAATTTGAAGTAATTTCTTTATCATAAATCTGTCAGTTATTATTTGTCCCATGTATTCAGGGTTTTGGTGTTATGTGAAAATACAAACCTGACTATTTTTTCCCAACACTTCTAACATTTACATGAAAAAAATTGTAGAAGTTGCAGCTGACAAAGGACTGCCCAGTCATCTGCCCCAGTTGTGAGTCCTAAAGATCATTACAGAATTATTGTATCCCATTGTTGTGTTTGAAACCTGGCCTTTAATTTGTGGAAATTAACCTGTTTATTGGAGTCAGGCTGGGTACATAAATGCCACTGCACACTGTAAAATATCACACATCTCCAAGGTCAGGACAGTGTCAGTAAACTCTGCATACACCAGAAAATGCTTCAAAACAAAATTAAATCACTTCAAAAGTGCAACAAAAGTCTAAATAATTTTAATTCTGTATAAAAGTGTTAGACCTGTGTTTCTGTGCAAGTCAGAGCAGAACCAAAATATGAGAACAGGGTGGAAGTGTATTTAGATGTCTTTGATACTCCAACCAAAATTTCATGTGAGCTTTGCAAAGATTCTGGGGAGCACAGGGAGCTGCAGAGCAACTCCTTGCTTGACAGAACTTTCTCAGAAAGCTGAAGCCATCTGGCCTTATTGTTGTTTTCAGGTAAACTTTGCTAACAGACTCATTTTACAGAGCTGCACACACAGAAATGTTCCTGGATCTGCTGCCCAGGCACCAGAGCCAGAAACAGCTCAGCCCCACATGTGCCACCAAGGATGTGTCCCTGCAGGTGCTCTCCTGGCTGTGTGATGAAATAACAGCAAAGGCTTCAATGGCAGCTGTATTTAAGTTGAAGAACAATGAAATCAAAATTATCTTTTTCACAAGCACTCACTTAACAAACAACAAAATTGGGGGACAAAAACCTGGTGTTTTGCTTCACAATGTGTTCTTTCCCATGCTGTTAGAACTGGCACAGAACTGGCACTTGCTATTTATAATTTCATTAATATAAGATACTTTACCAGGAGCTCAGAGTCAAAAGATTGCTATTTATTTAAAATGCATTTTACAGAGAATAAAGTTTTTTTATTAGATCACAGTTGCTGGTGATTCTGAGTAAGTAGTACTGCTTTGGCTGCAATCACCATACAGAAGTTGCTGTACATTTGGAAAGAGCCAAAGTGAAAAGCAGCCACAGCCTGTGCACAGACAAGAGATCCAGTGCCTAAAAGGGTGCTTGGAGAATAAACCTCAGTGCTCTGCATGAGACATCTCTGCAGTGCCATCTGTGACACCCCAACACTCAGTGCAGCCCCAAAGCTGAACAACAAACTCCTGTTTCCAGCCCATCCCATTGGCTGCTCTCTGCCTGAGGTAACTTCAGTGCTGAGATTGTTTCCTTCCAAACCAGAGGTTGTAGATTACATTATTATAATTATTATAATTTTCAGAGACATAAAGCTCCCCATTCACACACATCATTTTCCTCCTTTAGTGAAGGATTCTTTTTGGTTCCTTCCAGCCTGTACAAGGTAGCAAAGTGAGAAACTCTGATCTAACAGAGTCACTGGCAACCAGACCAGAATGCTCTGCTTGCCTGTGAAACCCAGCCCAGCCCCTCCTCGCTTTGGGTTCCTCAGTGTTGTGTTTTGTTCCCCGTGAAGCCAAGCCCTTGTAGCAAGACAGATAAGGGCTGCTCACAGACTATTACCTTCTTCCTGACTCCTGTGGTTTTCACATCCCATCAAATTGTCATTTAGCTGAAAGCATGTCAGACCATTTCACAGGACCATACTGGAATAAATTTAACTGTACTGGAAATTGATGCTGTTGTGCTGTGAAGCTGATTGGGTTGGAAGTGAACAAAACATTGTTCCTCAGTCATACATGGAAAAGACTAATGGTATTGAGAAATAATTTTAAAACATAGTAACTCTGTTTACCTCATGTGTCCTGTTTTAGGTGAGCTGCACTCTGCAGTTCCAGATGAGATCTAGCTGAAATTTGAAAGTGATAGGTCAATATAATGTGTTTTTATTAATGGAAATTATACCTTGTGGTCACAGGTTGTGTATGTGGCCCAAGTGACTGAATTTAGCCCCTTTCCTCATATTTTCCCCCTCACTGTTTTATCTGCCTCACTAAAGTGAAATAAACTAAAAATTCACTAAGTATTGAAATAAACCTGCGGACTTCAAAGCACAAAATCAGATGCAACCATGAAGAAATAAACAGAACAAAGAACCTTCACTCCCCACCAGCACCACACTTTCAGTTTGGTGGCTTCATTGACAGCAGCTTCTGTGGGTGCAAAATCAGATTTGCAGGTACCAGATTGGAATTAAATGTGGACACAATTCTTGTTAATCTAAGTTTTAAACAGCTCTAATAACAGCATCATTTAGAGTTCCAATACAGGGCTGAAGAAGCGGCCATTTTCTCTGCTTCCTTGATAAAAGAAGGGCTCCCTGATAAAGGAAGGGCTCTTTATTCAGTCCATTTCCCTTTGCTTTCCCAAATAATCCCAAACGTGGGGAGCAGCCCCGCACCCAAACGAGCCACGGCAGCCTCGCCCGCAGATCTCTGATTTCTGTCTGCGGCTTTCCCAGCGATGCCTGCAGGCTGCCGAGTGGCACCCGGCTAATCCGCGATGCTCCAGCCCGACCCCAGCCTGACAGAGCCTTCGCACCTCCCGCAGCCCCTCCTCCTCCTCCCGAAGTGAGAGACGGGCGACGCTTTTATTCCTCACCGGGGAGCAAGACGAGCCCAGCTCTGCTCCGAATCTCCTCTGCTCGCTGACACGCGTCAGACACAACATTCTCATCCTTAAGAGCTGGAGCAAAACAAAAACAAAGCAAGAGCCCAAAAAACCCAGTGAGCTCCAGTCCCTGTCTGGAAAAAATAAACAGCCATTATGTTCCTCTCGCCTGAGCCCCAGCCACGTCCTTTGTTTGATGAAAGCTGGGTGATTTCTCTGCTCCATCTTGGCACTGCACAGGTTAATGAACAAACCCCACATATTTACAGTCTCTCAGGAGAAGTGAGGTCCGACTGACTGCCACGTGAGGAAGCACGAAGGGACGAGATTTATGGACATGGAGATCTCCCCCAGCTCATTCCCTGCCTGGCTGCAGCCACAGGCCAAGTTGGGAGCTCTCTGTGCCAACAAAGCGGCCCTTGCTGCTCAGGGGCAAGGCCTGAGGAGTCCGGCTGGCTCTGCTGCTTCTGCACAGGACAGCAGAGTGCAGGGGCAGTGGTGCTGCTGGGCCAGAGAGCTCTGCTCCAGGAGACAGGCCCTGAATATTTAAAGTAGGAAAATTCACTTTAACCTACAACTTTTGGAGGTCTTGAGCCAGGTGCCAGGTAAAGGGAACACACTGCAGTGCAAACTGGACAACAGCCTGGTTCCCAAAGAGCACTGCTGATGCTTTTGTTCTCCTAGAAGCTGTGTCCACAATAATTCCGGTTACTTATGTGCAAATGAGAAAAGCTCTTGCCATAGATTTGACCAAACCAGGTTTCTCACTATGTTTATTTGCCCTTCTGTTTGTTTAAAGCAGGAGTTCTGAGCAAATCAGTATTTTACTGGGATAGCCACAAGGAATGGACAGCTTGAGCCTTACTCCTTCCCCTTGGGCCAGAGCTGTTTAACTTGAGAGGGAACCACCTTCCTCATACTCAACAAATCTCAGTTAAAATGTCCTGCACACACAAACACAGAATTCTACACTTAAAGGACTCACAAAGGAGAAAGAATTGCCTAAATCTGCTTTCCATTTTCCTTTATTTGCACCGTTGGAGTCACTGCTAACCCATCCTCACCTGGCAGCAGTGACAGGCAGGACCTGGCTGGTTCTGCTGGGCAGCCAGACCCTGGCACTGCCTGGCTCTCACTGCTCCTGCTGGGGTTAACCAGCTGCTGAGAGTTTCTGCAACACACAAGACACCAAATTAAATAAATGCTGTGATTATTTGGAGTGTGTTTTACATTCATCTCATGTGTGTTTGGCAGTGTTGGTGCACTTGTTTTGAAGCTGAATAAAGCACATGCAGAGTGGTCATGGATGTGTAAAAGCATCCAAATATGAGAATGGCTCTTCAAACCTAGTGAGCCAAATCTTTCTCTTTTGGAGAAGGGCTCTGTAATGATGATTTATACATTTTTGAAAAGTAGATAAATACACAGCATTGCCTTGTAAGCCTCCTGAACAGTCCCCATAAGGGCAGATTGCAAAGTTTATCCTATAGCTCAGGTTCCAAAATGTTGATTTGTTCACCTGGCCTTGCCCAAATCCCGCGAGACATAAAAATACAAATTCTTACAAGACTCTAGTCCCAGTTCAGGTCTCTCACAACACTTACAAAACAAACAAGCTTCACTTTCTCTCCTGATGACTACAGCCTTCCCTGAAAAATTGCAGCTTTATTATGCATAATTCAATTTCATCAACTGCTTTTTTATATTGTCCCTCCTAATTATGCACACATATACTTGTTATTTATTGCAATACATAAATTATGCCCCAAGCATAGCACAGAAGTACACACACATTTCTTATGCAAGAATAGAAAAATCAGTTAGGCCTATCAGGGATTTATTTACTCCCCTGTCCCATTCTGGATTTGTAGGTGTTTGTACAGATTCAGAAACCACATCTGAATTCTGTCTGAATTCTCTCCTTGGTTGTTACAAGGGCATTAATTACCTGCATTCCATAATGTATCACACCAACTTTAAATGCTTTTTTATTTCTGAAAAACAAGGGCAGATGCACAGATGTTTTTATGCTTCTGACAGCCCAATGATGACAACACAGTAACCCAACTTGTTGCCTGATTTTGGCTGAGAGGGGCTCAGGTCAGTGGTGTTTGATGTGCCACATGCATTACTTTTAAACTTTGGTCATGATTCAGGACTGCAGTCCAAATTCAGATTTAAATGATGCACCACAGGATCCTTGTTCTCCACAAAGCTGCAGAGGGAGCTTGGGCAATGAGACCTGAACTTTAGACTTCAAAGGAATTGTCAGAAATGAGTCCCTGTGGATAAACCCCTTCAGAGCAGGGTTTGCTCCTCCTGAGCCCACTTGGGCTGTGCTGACCACTCACCTTCCCTGCAAGAACATCTGCACACAGCAAACCAAGCCCAGAATGTCAGGTTTTTACCAGCACATATTGAACACCTATGGAACATAATTAATCTCAAGGGTGCATTCCCTGTGCAGGGTGTCAGGAGAGCACAGAGTGCAGAGGCACCTGTGGCCATGAAGAATGTCATGCCTGCAGGTCTCCTCTCCCCCAGAGATTTGAGAGCCCCCTGTAATGGATGTTTATTTGTCTGTGGTATTGATTTATTAATTTGTTACACACTGATCATTAATCAGCATCTGGTGCCCAGACAGTACAAGGGGTCACACAATGCAGCATCACCCACTGCCCTGCCAGGCCTCTCCAGACCCCTCAGATGCTAAAACACCAAACTTTCATTTCATAAAGGAAATGCCAACACTGCCCTGCAGTCCCTGGCTGAGCCCAGCCGTGGGAGCTCTCCCCTCCTGTCCCTGAGGTCACAGTTTGGCCAAACACGTGCAGAACATGCTTGGCTCATTACACATGTGCATATCAAATCCACACTCAGCAGCAAGGGAACACAAGACAATCTATGGTAAAATACTGGGACTGCACTTCAAAGATCAGGATGCAATTCCAGGGACTCCCAGGGTGACTTTGGCCACAACAGTTACCTCCCCTGCTTCAGCTCCCATCTGTAAAAAGCAAAATAACCATCCCTCATTTTTACTTCATCCATCTTTGCAATTTAAACTCGGAGTTCTTTGTAGTGGTGTCTCTTTCTCAAAATACATCCAGCTCCGAGTACACAATGTCCTCCTCAGAACAGCCTTATGAAAATGCATCCAAAAAATAAAATAAAAAGAACCATATAAAACATCCACTGATGAGATAAGACCACCAGCATAACAATGCAGTGAACAGCTGTAATCTGTGGGAGGATTATTTCTCTTTGCCACAAATGCCATCTATTTTTCAAGACAAGCTCTTCTCTTTCATAGATCAGGGAACTCAGTATCTGCAGACAACTTCCCTTCCCGTATGGTTTTTAAAGGCTCACAGTAATTTGTGACATTAATTAGAAGATGTCACATTTTAATGACAAATATTAGTACTAGTCTGCTTGATTAACATAATTTATTTTTTCAGTGGACATTTTATTCCAGATGAGCTGCTTTTCATCCATCCATATTTGCTGGGGGAAAAATGCATCCTGACATGCAATGTTAATGTGCCCTCTGAGCTGACCTCTTATCTCATCTCTTAACTTTTCATTCTCACCCCCATTCTGTGCAGTGCCTGAAATGAGCTTTAGCAGCAGCTCCTGGTCAAGACTCTCATATATTGGAGCCCTGCCAAGGCTTTTGGGGTGTTTAGCACTGACTAAAGGTCTATTCCTATGACATACACATTTAAATTTAGCACTAAACTGGTGGGGAAGAAAAGAGAAAAATATGTAAAATGCCACTTTCTGACAAGCAGAAAATTAGAATTCATTCCCCTGAGAATTAAATGGACTTTTCTGCTTCCAATCACTAACTATGACAAGGTTAACATTTTTCAGTCTAATGACTAAGGACATTAAGTGTGCATGTGAATAAGAAATAAAATTACTGGAGGGTATTAGCTAAGTGTGTGACAACAGCCCAAGCTGACAACAGAACTCTGAGGCTGCAGATTGCAGCCAGCACTGATCTCTGCTGAGAACCAATGGATACCCCAACATGGAGGGCATCCTTCTGTCCTTAATCCTGCAACAACACCAAAATCACAGCAAGAGCCACGCCTGGCTGGGGGCAGAGCTCAGCTCAAAGGGCATCCAGCACCTTCCAGTACCCCTGGCAGGGGCACCATGACAATCAGAGGCCACAAACCCCTGAAAATACTCCAAAAATAAAAAATCCCAAGTGCCTCTCTTACTTCCCCAAGGATTCTTTCCCCACTCCTGATTTAATTCTGATATGACACGAGGATTAGGGAAGGAGATTAAGTTATTATTTGTGACTTGCCTTAGCTTCTGTCCTTCCCAGATGTGTTTTCCCTGTAGCTCCTCACTGTCTGACTCAGCTGTGGCTTCCAGACAATAAAGGATTTCATGGGATGCAGCACAGAGGGCTCAGAGGAAGAGAGAAGTCTCTGTGTTATTGATATGCCCTTAATGATACAGCATATCAATATATAATCAATATAACATAATGATAGGCATTAAGATACTGGAAATTATGGACTATTGGGAATCTGTCAGGACATATGTAAAACTGGGACACTAAAAGGTAAAATAGGAAAATTATATTTTCAAATATCTAATTTCTTTAGTAAAAAAAAAGTGTAAACACTACATTTTGAGATATAGGTCAAGCTAGAGAAAGCCCTTTTAAACAGGGACAATTAATATGGATTCTATCAGAACAATAAAAGCTGTGAGGACATCAATAGAATTCAACACAGAGCTCTCATTTTATTGTTTCTGCCTTTGATTTGGTTTCAAAAGCTGCTTGGCCACAACTGAGAAAAATCCAAACCTTACAATTTAGGGGAGAAATGAAACATTTTAAAAAAATTAAAATAGACATTAGGACTAAAAAGAAGGAAAGAAAACCAGAAGAAAACAAGTACTTTCAAAACCACAGGATGCACTTCTAGATTAGCCAACTGGAAGGATTCACCAATTTCTCTTTGCTTTCCTGTGGCTGTCAGGGCACTCATCAGTCCAAAGCAATCATTTTTTAATGTTTCTAGTCTGAAATCAGTGTGATGATTTCAGGCAGCTCTGTAACCACATGTGCTGTAACATGAAAAGCTGGACTCTCCTCTGTCCATGTGCAAAGCAGCAGGCACATCTCAGCCTCTGGAGGGTTTGTGCTTTGCCAGAGCAGTGTGAGAGGATTCCTGCAGGTTTGGCACCAGTGGTGAGTGAGTGAGTGCTGCACCTGCCCTCCCCCAGCTCTGATCACACCCCACACCACTCTCACTGCTTTTGGTCCCTGGTCTCGTTACCTCACACTTCCCTACAATAAACTGCATGAGCCACTCACCTGCCTGTAATCCTGATAAATCCAAATCATTTGGAATGAGTTTGTTTTGTTCCTCTGCCCCTCCAACTTCCCCAGCCTTATTTTATGTCATCAGCATATTTCAGGCACTTTTGAAATTACATCCTGCTCGAGGTCACTGCACTCATTTTAATTCCAACCCCCCCAGCACATCAGTGCTTTAACTCCCTCCTGATTTATTTATACTGTTTATTATCAGAGCCCAATTCAATCAATAAAAGCTGGAATCCAAACACATGCACACGTTTGAATTATGCATACAAACACTCATCAGGGGACAGAAGACAACTGCTATGGTCTAGATCATTCCTCTAACATCTGGCAGCTCATAGGTAAGGGGGCTCAGAGCCATGAATTTTTATACCTTGACTTCTGCTTGACCCCAGTGGTTGTTTGGCTACTGGAAACCAAATGAATTGAAATAGCATCAGAAATTCCATGGAAGAGGCTTGGCCAGGGGATCTCTGCATTTCTATCCCAAGCCACTGGAACTGTATTTATGGCTTTCTGAGCTGACAGTTCCTTTATTAGCTCCTGTGCACGCAGGAATTCCAGAAAAACACCAGCAACCCACAGCAGACAGTCACACCAAGCAAATGCTGCAAACAGAACAGTGCACAGAGAACTGGAACCTAAAGGGAAACCAAAGCACAGACCTCAATTGCAGCCTGGTTTAGGCATCAAACCAACCCAAACAGGCTGCTGGAAGCAGAGTAGGAAATTAATAACTTCTGGCTCCCCTCTGCAAACCAGCACCCTCCCCAAACCTTACTGGTCAGCAGATCCTCAGGCACAGCTCACTGCTGGCTCCTGCTTGCCTTTGAACACAGCTGGTGGTTACAGCCCAACAGCACTGCAGATTCAGAAAATGAAGGCAGAGAATGTGTGGACATGCTACAGCCAGACTGCCCCTGGAACTGTGTGCCCCAGTTCATCTCAGTTCCATTTCTCTCAGTCCTTTGCCACCTCCTCACTGCTCTTCCCTGCCCACCATGGAT